AAATCTGATAATTTCAATCGATCTTTTAGAAAATTCTGGTCTTCTTTGATGTGTTACATGACCACCTTCCCCTTGGAAAAAACTTCCCTTAATCCAAAATGGCGGCTTTCAAGATGGCCGCCGTTTTCTGGCCTTAACCTAAATGATTGACCTCCTCAGCCATAACCTGCATTAAAAGCTTTGAGCTCCAGTTCCAGTCTTTATGTCTCAACAAGCTGGAGCCGCACATTTAAATTACGAGTACTTTTTCTGAGCAGAAAAGCTTTGAGTCCGGACTAAATGTAAAACCAGGCCTCTTGATTACTAGCTCATTTCTTTGATCTCTTCCCGTTTTTCCAGGGGCCACAAACTGGTCTCGGCAGAAGGAATAGCTTGCATTGTGAACAAACACGAGCCAGCCAAATTTGAAATCAGTTTCAAAAAGGGTAAGTGTTAGTGATGTGAAGCCTTTTGTTTTCACTCCTCTTTAACTGCTTTTGCTTCATTTGTGACCAATTATTGTGTATTCAAATCTTTACACAACCTGAAAAATTGTTTACATGGGACATGGTTTACACTCATTTTGACATAATAGATCTTTTTAAAGGATAACTTAAGAGACCAGATGAGAAGAGTTATGACTTCAGTGGTTTAGGTGATAAACTCTTCTGATTCGTCTAATTTAAAAACTCTTTTTCAACTTTTTTTGTTAAGCAAAGTGAGTCCAAAGTAGCAGGAACGTGTTTTATTTCAGAAACAAAAGTGAAAATGACATATTTGAGTGCCACAGCATTAATAGGTGACTGGGCCCCATCCTTTAGGCTGTGTCCAGAACATGGCGGCCATCTTGAAAGCCGCCATATTGGATCAGGGGCAGGTTGAAGAACTGTCCCAGAAATCTGCTCGTAGAGGCTCCCGACAGCATTTCTGAAGAGACTGGGTTCCTTAGTTTGATCCATGGCAGATATTGCTAACTTTGCCATTCCCAGGGACTTTTGTTTTTAGACGATTCCGGCTTAAAATAAAGGTCCACTCAGTTAGAACTGGCTGGGAGGTTCAGATACGGTGTTAAGGTATCTATCTCCACCTTAATTCCTCCCGGTCCTTATGGAAACTTGGAAAATGAACAGAAGAGGTCTTTAGCAATGAATGGAATTTATTCCGGCCACAAGTAAGATATTACAGCGCTAGATTCTTTGGGTAATGTTGTCTTAAAGACGCGATCCCACCAAAGAGCACCGATTAGACGTTAATCATGTACATTTTTCTTCTTGGGCTAAGATCCGCCCCCTATAATGCAAAACTGGTCTTCGCAGTACCGAATTGTAATTGGCCATTTAACTCTAACGTAAACATGCCAGCTTCCTGTTCACGTGATCGTATAGTGTAGTAAAAAAGTGTTGTGAATATTGTGAAACACAGGATAAACACGAACTTTAACAGAATCTAAAAATTAGTTCTTTCAACGGCGAGAATGAATGAAACAAAATGGCGTCCTGTTTCTGTCGAGTCACCCTGTAAGTTCACTTTTGTTCTTCTCTAGTACCTTCCACCAGTCCATACTGGGTTCTGTACACCGACTACGAGAACCTGGCCATCGTTTATTCCTGCACCAGCTCCTGGTTCCACTACCAGGAGAAAGTCTGGATTCTGGGACGATCATCCAAACTCTCTCATCGTAAAATTCATTTTGCCTTTGATTTTCTGAAAGAGGCAGGAATCAACACCAAATGTTTGATTGCCGCCGACCAGAGCTGCTCCAAAAGTTAACGCAGAGCTCCCCAATGTTCAAGTTCTGCAGAAATACTACAAATGAATAGAATCTGACCCATCAAAGAAGCCACAAACAAGGTTGTGATCACTAATAAAATTCATTCTGACTTACTCAATTGTCATGTTTTTCTTTCCCTCTCTAACATAAAACACATTTTACAGAAGAAAAAAAAATATATATATATATATAAAAAAAATATGAAAAATAATATAAACAATATAAATATATATATTTTTTTTTTTGTTTTTTATATATATATTTTTTTATGTTTTTTCCTCATGTTACCTGCTCAGAACATTAGAAATAAGCTTAAACAGCTTAAACATGTCTCAGGAATAAGCTAATAAGGAAAATGTGTCAGGACGAGTTCAAGACAGGACTCAGAGGCAGAGATTGGCAGTTTCAAGGTCTTTATTGCTAAAAAAAAATGTAAATAATAAAAAATAGTGGAAGCACAAGGCTTATAATAATCCGTTTTACAAGGTTTAACAAAAACGATGGACAAAACACAAAGATGATTATCATTCTTTCGAGGATACACAAAACGATGAGAGTACAAAATAATAATCTCTCTTACAAGGTATTACAAAAACAATGGACAAAGTACAAATAATAATCTCTCTTTCGAGGATTTCTTTGGGAATCAGGGTTAAGGAATACACCAGGGGAACACAGACTATTTAAACCCATGAGG